CCATGGATGCTCCGAGAGTCTCCACCATCCTATATGCCAAATCCCGATTAAACCCCCCCCCCTGAGAATGCATCCCCTCCCGATACCCAAAGTCTTCAGCAAGCCTACATCAATATATCCACTACAAATACCATGGCAACCTCATGTTCTGGCCATCTCCTGTATCTGCCTTCGCATGCTGTTTTCGTTCCCAGTACGCGTGTATTTACTTACCTTTGTGCCTACGGCACGTACATGCTACGAGATTTGATAACGGACTGACCGTGGCTCGTTAGGCAACTCGTGCCTTCCTCATTGTACTTCTCTGCGAAGTAACTGACTCTGCGCTCTTCTGTGCTACACGAGGTGCAGCCATGGCGACGACTGGCTTAGCCACACCACAAGCCATGACCTCACAATGGATCCTTTGCGACCCTACCCATAACCACCATCCGTGCATGTACCCTCTATCTCCTAACCACAACCCTTTGCTCCCTACCCCCCCCAAAAAAACCCAACTCCCCACCCCCTAATACTACATGGAGCCTAATTTACTAATTTACTAATCCCTCTGATGAGCTGCTATGGGTGCTATGCGGCGAAAAACGCGCTTTAGGGCGTGCACCCCCCCTACAGCTGGGCTCCTGCCCTGTCCTAACTTCTAACCCACTAACACTAATCTGCTGATCTTTTGCTCCTCTTTGACCAATTCTCGCCCTATATACCCACCATTTGAAAAGTGACAATGTCCCTGACTGCTTCATAGCCAACTTGGCTAAAGCTAATCATCCTCCAATGGGCTTTCTTAACTTCGAGTTGCGTCTTGTTTCCCATTTGATATGGGATAGCCGTGTCACGTACACAACCCCCCCCCCACACCCGCGCACACACACACACACAGACTGTCGGGGTTCAACCTCCTGACGAGTCGGTGAAAGTCGGACGAAACAGTCTGGTACAGTCATGCTTTCTTTTAGTGTTTAGCAAATATTACCACACACACACACACACACACACACACACACACACACACACACAATCAATCAATCAATCAATCAAATCGATTGATTGATTGATTGATTGATTGATTGTGTGTGTGTGTATGTG